AATAGTGTAACAGCTGTTTATGTTAAAGGTGACATATTATGCCCCTTTTTACAATATGTAATATAAGTCTCTGGTGTCCCCAGAATGTGTCTGTGAAGTTTCAGCTCAAAATACTCCACAGATCATTTATTATATCATTTTGAAAATGCCTATTTTGAGTGGAAGCAGAAACGCGCTGTTTTTCGGGCCTGTCTCTTTAAATGTAAATGAGCTGCTGCTCCCAGTCCCCGCCCCCTTTTCAGAATAGAGCTGCGCCTTTACAGCTCGTATCTGCTAAAAACATCTGTTTTGGTTCTGATTATCATGTTTATCGCGCTGAAATCATGCGTTTTAAACCATATGAGTTTAAACTTCTGATATACGGTTTTCTGAGCGCACACATCCAGCAGTTGCTAAGTTTAAGTTAAACACACATGAGTTACAAAAACAGTCGGTTATGTCTGTGAAGGTAAACAGCTGGGAAATAAATCGCTTGTTTATTTTAGATCTGTGTGGCAGCAATATACAGTAGCCTAAATAAATCAATAAATCCACTTCTCTCTTGTCTCCTCTGAGGCTGGGACTCTAAATATTGTTCTGTGCTCGTCTGTGCAGCCAAAGACAGAACAGTTAGCATGTTTTGCTCAAACTTTCGCCATGGCATTAGAGCTGGTACACCGCTGTCGCTTGTGAAATCAAAATGATGGTGCCATGGGTGGAAACATGCAGATTAAGGGGCGGTAATATTATAATGAGATCCCTTTGCCACGTCACCAAGGGAGCTCTTGTTGACACTTGCTGGAAAAGTCAGATTTTCATGATATGTCACCTTTAAAAATGACTTTTCGTCACATCATTCTTTCAACGCTGACTTCATTCACATGTTCATCTCATGTTGTCTGTAAAGCTCCTCAATCTGTTTTCCCTCCTACATTCCCATCTGTTGGGAGGAAAGATCTTACCCTTAATCTGTTAAGATCAATAATCATACAGCAGGTATTTCTCTTCAACTGTTTAAGTTGCTGTAAGTTTAAAGAAAATAGTTGGTCAGCTTCACCTTACTAAAATATTGATTTTTGCACATAGTTGTGATCAAACTGATATTAGCAGCAACATCATGACTGTGAAACTCCTGCCATCACTAATGTGATTATAAACAATTGTCATTTGGGAATTAGCTGGGACAGATGCAGGGAGGGAGCTGGCTTTAAAAACATGGAGCTCAACAAGACTGCTGCTGGAAAGCTAGCAGATAGTGCCTGAGTTTGGGCGTCAGGTTCCTTGGATCAAATTATATGCATTTGAAGAGTTTCAACAAATATCAGGTATGTCGGACCTTTATCTTAATTTTTTTTTTCTGTATGATCTACATGAAGAACTTAAGATTGTATGTTATTTTATTATATCTACTATACTTACAATACACAACGAAATAAGTGCATTTTATGAGCGATTATCAAATGTAGTAATGTTATATGATTTTAGTTTAATTATCTATGTTACTTAATACTATTACTATTAATTGATTAACTGAATTAATTCATATAATAAAAAATAGCCTATTAGGCAAGGCAAGTTTATTTATATAGCACATTTCATACACAATGGTAATTCAAAGTGCTTTACATAAAAGAAAAGAAAATAATAATAACAATAAAACAAGGAATTTAAAAACTTTGAAAATGATTTAAAAATTGATTTAAGATTAAAATGAATTTAAAACAGTTAAGAATAGAAAATGATTATACATAAAATATAGTGCAATCAGTTGGGACGTTGCACAGTGCTCATTCAATAAATGCACAGCTAAAAAGATGAGTTTTGAGTCTGCATTTAAATGTGACTAATGTTTTAGCACATCTGATCTCTTCTGGAAGCTGATTCCAACTGCGGGCGGCATAATAACTAAAAGCGGACTCCCCTTGTTTTGTGTACTTTTCCACGACATTCTAATTTATTGAGATGCACCTGTACTGTATTCATAAATACTGTATTTAAATATATTGTAAATGTAAAATTCTAAAATTCTAGTTCTAAAATGTAATCTTCATACATAGAAGATATAAAGATACATACGTAAAGATACTTAAAACATAAAAATGTCTTTTTTTTTATTTTGCATTGTTGTTTACTATAAATTGATTTGTCTATCTGATTTTTTTTCTAGGTTTTAACGCAGCCTGTGCTTACATTTATTTATTAGACTGGGTCGTATGAAACTGGAGTAGCTGAAATACACTTCTTTACTGAAATATCTTCAATCTTGAACTTCAGTATCACTTTGTTTGAGAAAGACTCAAGTTCATTAAGACATGCTAAATGAGAGATGGATGCCGTGGTGAAGAAATCCCTGGGTGCCCCCTTCCGACAGGTGACCAGCTGCATTAGCCGGAAAGGCAAAACCGTCCGCAGGAAGAGCGCCCCCTGCTGCTACGGTCAGACAGCACACGACTCATCCTGGTTGAGGACTTACCAAACGGAGTTGCACAGGGAAAGGTACAAAAACACGCTTATAAAATTATTGGACACTTATTAGCTGATCTCTATGGCTTAAATTATAATGTAATTGTTTGTATTTTGTCTGAGCAGGAAACTGAGGCAAGTCAAATTTGCGCAAAAGAACGCAGAAAGATTACAGAAGCCCACAACGCTTCACGAAGGTACGTTTGTGCTCACTTAAAAATTATATTTGCTGAAACAAAAGAATGCAGTGGCTAACTTATAGTAGGCTATATGTACATTTTTCAGACACCTGTACAGAGGGCAAACATAAAAAGCAAGACCCCCACCAAAAGTGACAACTCTCTTTTTGGCGCCTTCCAAGGACTCAGTCTCAATATGAATGGAGCACAAACCTCCATAACAACGCCACCAAATGCAGATCCGTGTAAAGTCACGTGACCAAGAAAACCGTTTCAGATGACTCTAATGATGGGACTGTTATCCAGTATAATTCCTGTTTACCAAGAGGAAGTTCCTCAAGAGCGCTGCTGATTAATAGGCCTATCAATTCAATATCTGAGGCGAATTATGAACTACAGATGCTGCGTTCCAGGAATATAATCTGATTATGGTGTATCATGATAAAATATCATGATTATGGTAAGTCATGAGACCTCAGTGAAAATCAGTGTTTAAAATATAATTAAAAAAATAATAATATAATTAAAAAGTCTTTAGTAGCGATTTAAAAATATGTACAAAACAAAGAAATAAATAGATAATTCATAAATATTTAATATTTTTCACTTTAAGCCCCTAACTAAAATCTGAAAATAAATTTGAATGGTAAATTCGAAGAGTTTTCACTGGTGGTCTCAGGCTCATTGTACAGTATGTGTGGTTTATATTTATTGTCTCCATGTTTTTGTACCTCTTTTGTATTTTCCTTTTGAACACTCAAGTTCACTGAGGATTTACAGTAGCAACTGAACTCAAATTTGTTTCTCAGATGGCTCAAATTACACCGTAAACAACTAAACCACTTATGATTCTGGCTTTCTTTTGCGTTAAAATTTTCCAATAAAGATGATCTACATTTGATAATTTTGCAGATAATTTTACCTGAATGTTGCAACATTTTTCCAGTTACCTACTGTATATGAACACAGTGAACAAAATTGTGTTTGTCAAAACAGGCCCTGGAGCTGTATTTACGTAAAACAATTAAATTATTGGATACACAGTACAACATTGCAGAACATGAGCCAGCACATTTGGCAGTGTTCCCCACCTCTTTGTAGAAAGCCTGTGTATAGCAAAGGCCGTGTCTTTAATTATTTCCTCTTGCTTGCCAAAGGTAAAGCATCTCACTTATACTCAGACTCAGAAACACGATACTCAGCACTTTGCAGGATTGACAGTCGTCGAAACAAGATACTATACATTGGACTCACTGAATTTACTGATGCCCTGATGTGAGCAACGACAGGCCTGCACTACACTGTGCAAGAATAAACAATGCTGCTAGTTGTCACACTTTTTATGTTATATTTTTGTATAGCCTGATACCTTAAAGTCTTGGCTACAAAAAAATGTTCCACCATTTTTGCCCAATAAGTAAGGTACAGCTAATTTACCACAACTTTTCCTTTTATGAACCCATATCATTACACAGACTGTATGGGGTAAGTTGTCACAATTGGAACCTGCAGTTTGACACTGATTTGAGAAACCTATTTGAAATATGAAATCTTATATTTAAATAGGCGGGCTATAGCTTTCAGCAAATTTTAAACAGTAAAACAATTAATGAAACTTCAAGAATGGAAAAGGTAACATCCAAAAAATATACAGTATACAGTATACAGTTCAAATTAAAGTTAATTAATTTAGAAAGTTACAACAACACACGTGACAACTTACCCCAATAAAAATGTGCTCTGACCTGACATTCATGGAAAAACAGTCTCGTCTGAATAAATTAGTAATTTCCTTTTAATGTCCCAACAACTAGCAAAAGTATATTCAAATTTAATTTGGAGGACAGAATTCACAAAATAATTTTTTAGGAGGGTTTTGAATTACATTTTGGAAACCAGCAAACAAAACCACTAATGAAAATGCAAAACCTTTAAAAAAAAAGAATTCACAAAAAGTACAATATATTTTAAATAAATACATAAATCAATAAAATGTTAATAAAATAAAACGTGTATTATAAATACATTCATACATACATTTTTAAATTTTAATACAAAATCGTATTTTTTTAAAACATTGTTTAAATTATATTTTATAGGTATTTTAAATAAATATATTTATACATACATAAATACATACTACATTATTAAATTAATTTACTGCTAGAAAACAAACAATTTTTTTAAATAGCATTTTTTTTAAACAAACAGACAAATACTACATTTTAAAAAGAATTCGTTCCTTAAATATGCATACAGTGTATTTCTGCACACAGGCAGAATGTATTTCTAAAGCTCACAGCAGCCTCAGGTAAATACACAGTGAGCCTCCAGCGTATTCCGTGTCCTCTAGCACAGGTTGGCCCCGCCCATTTCCTCCCCAGCCGGGCCGCTGAGGTGTGACGCTCTCTCCCTTACCTGTTCATCCCGACAGCTTGTTGAACAGATAACACGCAGGTGTCAGCAGAGAGGGAGATAAAGACAGCGCCTGCCATCAAGAAGCCGATTATACTCAAACCTCTGTGGGTTTCATCCCGTTCTTTATGTAATAATTGAGGACTAAAGTGATTTGAGGACAAGTAAACCCGCGCTAATTCTGAGGAGAATTTGCCCGCGCGCGAGATGGTAAATGTGTGGAAAGTGGATACCGGAGAATAATATTGACAATAAATGCACTTAGGCTATTCCCAGAGGAGCTTTCCAAGGGCGGATGAATTACGCAGAGAGGGACGTCTGGATTCTCCTTGGAAGTTTTGGGAGTCCATTTATACTGGTAAACTTACAGTAGGCTAAATAAATGGACATGTTTGGGCATTTTGAAAATGCTAGTTGAGACCTAATGCTTTGTGTTCATACTCAAGAAAGAGTTTTAAAGGAAGGTTAAGTTTGCATTATGAGTATTTAAAGACAAGTTAACAAATACATTCATCTTAAAGAGGTGTTCAAGTCATATTTAGACCAATTCGTATTGAAAACCTGAGGTTTTGTATACAAACCTTGGTTTCCAAATACAAAAGGATTCTGGATTTGGAAAGCATCATGTCCTCACTCTCTTCTTGAGACTCCAGCTGCCAAACTAGTCATCAACCTGAACCTGCATTAACATCAGATCTGAATTATGGATGGTGATGGACAGCCTCTGGCTTCAAATGGTGACTCGAAGCTCGGCTCCAGAGGAGGCTTCTCCTTAACCAACTGGCGTTCCTCTTCAAAGACTTTACTGCGAGGAGAGCAAGCAGGAGAGGACGTGAGCCGAAGGCTGCTGTCCGTTGTGAACCACCAGGAACGAACAGACTCAGGGGCCAGTCCCACCTCAAAATCCCTTGAGGTGACCGCAAGGTTAGATGGCACAACAGCAACCACCACTGTGACCACATCCACTCCACCTTGCCTCGACAAAGCCATGGCAGAGTCAACAGGGCCAGCAGGAGCCCCTCAGCCATCCGAATCAGAGGAAAGGGTCTTCGCTGACCAGTCCACATTTCTCCAGAGACAGTTCAGCTCCATGCTGCAGCCAGGGGTCAACAAGTTCTCTCTGCGAATGTTTGGGAGTGCGAAGGGGGTTGCAGCCGAGCAGGAACGGGTCAAGTCATTTGGGGTTTGGATTATACATCCATATAGTGACTTCAGGTGAGTGACGTAGGGGAAAGGGAAAATATGACTTGGCAGAACGTCAAACAAGGGTAGTGTTGATGTGAATGCCACAGTAGACTAAAAATTAGTCTTACCAAGTAAATAACAAAATGTACTTGATTACAGTAGTATGGTAACAAAATTGATGCTGTTTTTAATACGCTGAATTTTGAAGTCAAACCAACAATAAAAGCAAAAGAGTCATTTTTGAATTTGTTCAGGTCAAGAAGGCTACTGAAAAAATGGGTTTGCGGTTCTGACCCGTTTGCCCAATTTATTATTATTTAATTTCATGCTTTGTTTTGTTTTTTGCCTTATGAGTTTCCATGTTACACTTTGTTCTTCCACTATTATTTTAGTACAATTAATATACTATTTTAGAATT